ATCGAACCCAGGTCCCTGGCGCTGTGAGGCAGCAGTGCTAACCACTGTGCCACCGTGTCGCCCTATGTATTCTGACTCATCGTTATTTCATATCCGGCCTACCACGGTGGTGTCATCAGCAAACCTGCAGTTGGCATTCATTCGGAATTTGGCTACACAGTCGCTGATGATTTGAAACTTTTTATCTGTAACTAGAGGCTAATTACTCATAATAACTAAAAACTTTAAGAACACAAACCTGGGTCTAAAAGTCAGGTAACGTGAGAAATTTTGTGTGCTTATTTTAAATTCTTTAACTTTCCTGATGACTCCAGGAATAGCTGGGCCTGATTTCCAGCACAGAACCCCAGTGAGGCATAACAAGGTAAACATTACGTGCCATCAGTGCTCATCTGAAAACGAATGCTGTGTTTTCACATGAAGTCGCTAAGGGATAGGAAATAGAAGAGAAACAGGAGGTTCGAGGACCATCAGAGGTAATGGTGCAGGAGCAGGGAGAGGTGTCACTGATGGCGATTCTTGGGCTATGATTGGACAGGCGAAAAACAGGAGCCAGGTGAGAGTAGTTCCACCATCACACACAGTGGAGAGGTGTTGGAGGATGATGGTGTGGCTAGCTCTGTGTAAAGCTGCAAGACAGCTTGCGAAGGATGACGACGGAAAGTTTACCTTCTCAGTCACATGGGGTATCATTCTGGTATGTGGCAATGGAAATCAGATTGGATTCTGGGAAAAATGGGACTGGTTTTCACAGTGGCAATTTGATGAGGAAAGGGAGGATGGAAAGGAAATAGTAGTTTGCAAGGACTGTGTGGTCAAGACTGGCATTTCTGAGAGGATAACAATGAATTTGAAGGGGAAGGGATCAATAGAGAGAATTGTGAATCAACATGGGTCTGAGGAGGAGAGGTCAGTGGTTTAAAGAATGGATGAAGATGAAGGTGTTCAGAAAGGACAGGAAGACAGATAGTGAGAAAGTGGAGAGATGGGGGCTTGGAGCTTGAGTGACGTGTAGCCTGGGAGAATTGTTTTGATTTGTTGAGCTGAAGGAAAGCAAGAAAGCAGCAAAAACAACTGAATGGGTGGTCTCATTCATTGAAGACCATATACTCTCACCCTCATTGTTTGGTAGGTTGGACATGAGGAAGTTTGTTAGTGCCAAGCACTGAGTATGTTGTTGTGAAAGGTGAAAGAACCTTGGGGGAGGTTATTGTTGGAGTTAGAAATGGAAGGGAGCAGGGGCATTATTGAGGGCAAGAGTGGAGGGTATGAGTTCAGCTGTGATTATGACCAACTCTTCCTTAACAAAGGATATTCCAAGGTGTTTATTACTGAGGCAATTATGTCACGTAATATAGGGAAGGATGTGATGGGAATTTGGCTCCACAGTTAAACACCATTAGAATTATCCCATTGCCAAACGGAAGTAGAAACTGGCTCAATTCAACTATTAATTATCCACCCATGTCCTACTAAACCGTTAAGGCTCTGGCAGTTTTGGAATGAAATATTTCCATTCTGTGATAAGTGGATGCTCCAGTTTGGCTGAATGGTTTGTGGCTGCAAGAGGGATTGCATTTTAAACAAGGGCTGGGCAAAGTTCCTGTTGAATGTCAACCTTCCATCTCCTTGTCCTTCTCCCTTCATCCTCCCTGTTCCCTACTTCTCGTGGCTTGAGATTTTACCAGTATCAAATGTTGGTATAAAATCAACTATAAGCAATCTTAGATGGGCAGAAAATACTCATAATACATGATGCGGATGATTATAAAGATACTATATATGAAATACGTAGGATAGATATTGAAAATAACTATAACGAAAGCACAGACATTATAGTGCAATTTGTTACTAGCATTTACAAAAGGTCAAATGTGAAGTCAGCCTATATATTTCATTCATATATTTTCTCCCGAATATTTTTATGGGGAACTTGATATGTTTCTTTGGAATCTGAAATATTGGCGGAAATTTCCAAAGCTGTGTCTTTGATTGCAACTAATTGGACTCACCGAGATAATTTCCTGCTGATGCTCTGGAATCCACTGCCACAATCACACCATGCTGAAACTTAAAGGCCAAAGTGGTTGTTCCATGTTGGAGTTTTATTCTCACACCATCTTCACCTTCACTGTATGGTTTCAGGAACTCCACTGGCTGAAGGGATGGGATATAAAGATAAAGATTTTACAATGGATTGTAATGATCAGCAGTAACACTGAATCACAGAGTATTATGTGCAGGTGGAGCACATGTAGCGCATTGTGTCTTGACTGGCTCTCTGAATAAGTATTGTCACTCAGTGCCATTCTCCGCCTTTTCTCCCAGAATCCTGCACATTGTTTCTAGCCAAATAATCATTCACTGCCTGCTTGAATGTCTCACAAGGGGAGGTGATGGCCGAGAGGCATTATCGCTAGACTGTTAATCCAGAAACTCAGCTAACATTCTGGGGATAGCAAGAACTGCCGATGCTGGATTCAGAGATAACACAGTGTGGAGCTGGAGGAACACAGCAGGCCAGGCAGCATCAGAGGAGCAGGAAAGCTGACGTTTCCGGTTGGGACTCTTCTTCAGAAGTGGGGGTGGGGGAAGGGAGCTCAGAAATAAATAGACAGAGGAGGGGTGGGGCTAGGGGGATAGGTGGGATGGTGACAGGTGAGTGCAGGTAGGGAGTGGTGGAGATTGGTCAGTGAGGTGGGAGGAGCAGACAGATGGGAGAGAAGACGGACAGGTCAAGGAGGCAGGGATGAGAGGGAGGGTTGGTCATGGAATGAGGCCTGGGGTGGGGAGATTTTGGAACTAGTAAAGTCCCTATTGAGACCATTGGGCTGTAGTCTCCCAAGGTGGAATATGAGGTGCTGCTCCTCCAGTTTGCAGGTGGTGTCATTGTGACACTGGAGGAGGCCCAGGATGGACATGTCACCCAGGGAGTGGGAGGGGGGAGTTGAAACGGTTCATGACTGGAAGGTCCAATAAGAGACAATCTAACCATTGCCCCTTGGCAATCAAGAGCGTTACCATCACTGAATCCCCCACTATCAACAAGCTGGGGCTTACCATTGACCAGAAACTCAACTGCACTCAGCACATAAACACAATGTCTCCAACAGCAGGTCAGAGGCTAGGAATCCTGCAGCCAGTAACTCACCTCCTGACTCCCAAAGCCTGTGTATGATCTGCAAGGCACCAGTCAGGAGTGTGATGGAATAATCCCCACTTGCCTGGATGGGTGCAGCCCCAACAACACTTAAGAAGCTTGACACTATCCAGGACAGAGCAGCCCACTTGATTGGTATCACATCCACAAACGTCTAATCCCTCCACCACTGACACTCAGTAACAGCAGTGTGTACTATCTACAAGATGCACTGCAGACATTTACCAAATTTACAGCACCTTTCAAACCCACGACCGCTTTCATTTAGAAGGTCAAGGGCAGGAGATACATGGGAACACCATCGCCTCAAGGTTCCTCTCCAAGTCACTCACCATCCTGACTTGGAAATATATCGCCGTCCTTCACTGTCACTGGGTCAAAAACCTGGAATTCCGTCTCTAAGGGCATTGTAGATCAACGCACAGCACATGGACTGCAGGAGTTCAAGACGGCAGTTCACCACCACCTTCTCCATTTCCAGTTCAGACTCAGCGACACTGAGGGAACGGCGATTAATTTCCACGTGTCTCCGCACCATTCGCGCCTGCAGTTCTCTCTCTTTCTCTCACTCCCAGTCCTATGTGTGACTTTCTGCCTGTTCCACTTGCCCGTGTGTCTCTGATCGTTTTTTTCAGGGATTTTTCTTAACCAAAACCCGGGCCTCGCTGAACAAACCAGAACCGACAGAGACAGAGTCAGGAATCAACCTGCAGTTACTCACATCCAGACCAACCGGTACCACCAGCTGGTCCCTGGCCCCGAGACCAAGCTCCTTCGCTTTCACCAAACAGGCTTTCTGCCCCTGGGAGGGAGATCGTCCTGACTCCAGTCCTGATATCCGCACACCTCCACCAGCGCCATCTCCGCGCTTCACTTCCTCAGCCCCTGCTCTGAAAGTGCAACCGAAAGTAACTTCAGATCCGAGATGGCGCCAGCATCACCCAGAATGGATCAACGCGGATCACACCGGGACAGCGAGATCACAGTGGATCGCACAGTGACAGAGGATCACAGCGGGACAGGTGTATCACAGCAGGACAGTGGATCACAGCAGACCTCACAGAACAGTGGATCACTGTGGCAAGGAGTGGGTCAAAGCGGTCACACGAGGACAGGCGATCACACCAAATCGCAACAGGGCAGACGTGTGGTCACGCTGGATCACAGCTGGTTGAGGTGGATCACAGTGGGATCACACCGGGACAGGGCAGAGGGTGACGGTGGTCTGACAGGCTGGCTACAGTAATCGGGAATGTGAGCCTAGGGATCTGAGGGTAGGTGCCTGTTTCTTGGTGTGGGGGCGTTAGAGTTGTCAGGTTGAAAGGGTAGGGCGAGTGAGGTGTTTTGGTTTATGAGTTAGACAGCCGAGAAGCATAAGGCAGGGATTCGGACGGGACCAAGCAGTGATGCGGAGCACGCTGCTGGAAGCTTCACTCTTGTGTATACGCAATTCAGCCACAGCCCTGCAGAGTCGAGTTTGATGAAACCTGGTTTTAATGGTGAGTTTTTGACTATCACCGCTGGATAGACTGCCAGTTACAATGTACAGATTCATCCCTAAATGATATCCCAGTTTTTAACGATCAGGAAAATGACTGTCAACTGTCATGTTGATGTCAAACAAGTGAGACTGATCGAGTCGACCACTGAACGTCCAGCTATATCCCTGAAATATACAGGCAAAGTTCGAAGGCCCAATGAGAACTCAATGTTTGCGTCTACATCAGTAATCTCTGGGTAAAGTCTCTCTGTGCAGGTTGCATTCATCTTCCTCGCTCAGTGTCTGTCCAATCGGACGCTGGGCAATCCACACAGATCAGATTACCAGAGGCAACAAGGTGCAGAGCTGGATGAAC